CATAAATTCTGAAACCCCAAATAACAACTGCATGCAATTTTGATTCTGGAAATCAAAACTGAACATAAATTCTGAAACCCTAAATAACAACTGCATACAATTTTGATTCTGAAACCCCAAATAAAAACTGCATACAATTTTGATTCTGATTTTCACATCCCAATTTAAACTGAATACAGATTTTGAAATCAGAAACAACGTGAATGCAGTTCGATTCTGGAAATCAAATCGAAACTAAACATAAAATCTGAAACCCCAAATAACAACTGCATGCAATTTTGATTCTGGAAATCAAAACTGAACATAAATTCTGAAACCCTAAATAACAACTGCATACAATTTTGATTCTGAAACCCCAAATAAAAACTGCATACAATTTTGATTCTGATTTTCACATCCCAATTTAAACTGAATACAGATTTTGAAATCAGAAACAACGTGAATGCAGTTCGATTCTGGAAATCAAATCGAAACTAAACATAAAATCTGAAACCCCAAATAAAAATTGCATATAATTTTGATTCTGAATACCAAATCGAAACTAAACATAAAATCTGAAACCCCAAATAAAAATTGCAAATAATTTTGATTCTGAATACCAAATCGAAACTAAACATAAAATCTGAAACCCCAAATAAAAATTGCATATAATTTTGATTCTGAAAACCAAATCGAAACTAAACATAAAATCTGAAACCCCAAATAAAAATTGCATATAATTTGGATTCTGAAACCCCAAATAAAAACTGCATAAAATTTTGATTCTGATTTCGACATCCCGATTGAAACTGAATACAGATTTTGATTTCGAAATTAGAAACAATTGAATGCTGTTCGATTCTAAATACCAAATCGAAACTAAACATAAATTCTGATTCTGAAACTCCAAATAAAAACTACATAGAATTTGGATTCTGAAAACCAAATCGAAACTAAACATAAATTCTGATTCTGAAACTCCAAATAATAACTGCATACAATTTTGATTCTGCTTTTGACATCCCAATTTAAACTGAATACAGATTTTTGCTTCCGAATTACTGCAATGAAAAACCTAACTGATCATAGTAAAATTTACAGTTTCCACATTATTTAACACCTCGTCTCCACTATAACCGTAAGCGAAACAACCTTCAGATTACAATAAAACAGAGATTTAATTTTTACGAGTTTCTTAAATAAAAAAAAATGTAAGAAAAAGAATACTAATTGGCAGTTTTCGTGGCTTGACATAATTTTGCCCAAGAGAGAGAGAGAGAGAGAATTGTATAGCGTCGTGGGAGACTTGCACTGAGGCTGAATTATTATCTCAGGTAGCCAACGAGAGTAGGTTGGTTCCCAGGATTTCGATAAATTCCCTGAAACGAACCAAGAGCGGAGAAAATGACGGTTCGGTATGTGCGAATGAATTATGCATCAGGTGAAGAGAGGAGAGGGGGTGGAGGGGAGATTGTGACACTATATATACATACAACAATCCGTTATGAGTTACAATTTTTTTTTTTCAGGTTCAGTCATCGTGCCTCTTATATTCAATGATAAAAATAATATAATAAAAATTAAATAGAAAAAAAATGGAAAAGTTCTATAAATAAATTTCGAAATTAATTTTTTTTCACACCCACATAAATATTTATTTCGGCACCAGACAACGCGGGCGTAAACAATCCATGTTCGTTTAGTTTGTGTGTTTCAAGTGCAGGTTCACTTTCATTCATCGCTCTCGAGCCTCATCCTCTCTCTCTCTCTCTCTCTCTCCCTCTCGCATAAATTACATTGATTTCATTAGAAAATAGAAAATTTTTATTCAATTTCAAAAATAAAATTTTTTAACAAATTTTTGAATTAAAATAAAAATCAAGTGAAATAATCCCATGAGGATTTAGAGTAAATTTTTCAAGAACTTCATTTTGGAAAAATAAATTTCGAAATTTCATAGTTGGTGAAAAAAATAATAATTGAAGAAAATAGAGAATTAGAGATTTCCTACTTGAGAATAATATTTCGGATTATGTCTGTCCTTGCATTTAATCTCATGATCGTGATTATCATTCATTTGACTATGTGTGTACTCTCACATAAGGAATTTTTGTGTGTTTAAAACTGCTAACGGCTGGTGCGTTTATTCACGTACAAGGGACGTGCCTCTTTCGCAAGGGTCTCTCTCTCTCTCTCGAAAAAAAAAATTATGTGCCAAGAGAATATATATTTTGTCATCGCGAACTACATAGCGGGAAATTTTAATTTATTCGATAACTCGAAATTCCACTCTGGATGATGGGTCATGCTCTCAAAAACGGACAATGAACCTCCTAATATATTTAATTCAATCAATAAAAATTGCAATTTTATTTTTCATAAATCCAGGCCTTGGATCGACTTTAAGGCACAGGAAAAGTCGTTTTAGTCGATTTATATTCGAAAAAAAGTCAATTTTTTCAATTTTAACAAAATTTAATTGGTTAATAAATATTTTACTTTAAATAACTAATGTTATTAGATATTAAATTTATTTCATTAATTCTGTTATAAGAATAATTCTATAAGAACCTTATTAAAAATTATTAGAAATAATTGAATTTCAAAAAGTTTTGTTAATTTTCAGAAAATAATTACATTTTACAGAACTAAAAATAATTTGTTTTGGAAAAAAAATGATTTCACATAGTTAAATTTACGAAAAATTAAATTTCAATTTTAATTGATTTTAAATTGAAATTTTTTAAAATAATTGAATTTCAATTGATATTGAATTCAAATTTTTGAAAATAATTGAATTTCAATCGAAGTTTTGAAAAATAATTGAATTTTAGATGATTTTGAATTGAAATTTTGGAAAATAATTGAATATTAATTAATTTGGAATTGAAAGTAATTTAATTTTAATTGAAATTTTTTAAAATAATTGAATTTTAGTTTATTTTGAATTGAAATTTTTGAAAACAATTGAATTTTAGTTGATTTTGAATTTAAATTTTTAGAGATAATTGAATTTCACCAAATTTCAGATGAAAAATTTTAGAAATAATTAATTTTTAGAAATTTTTAAATTTAAATTTCTGAAAATAATTGAATTTCAAAAGATTGTGTTAAATTTCAGACAATAATTATAATAAGTGAAATTTCTAGTGATTTCTGTTGATTAAGAATTTATTAGAAATCACATAAAAAAATTGAATTCCAAAAGTTTTTAATTGAAAATTGCTTTCAGATAATTGAATTTTCGAAGAATATTATAAAAATCATAACAAATAATTTAAATTTTTGCAAATAATTAAATTTCAAGTGATATTGAATTAAAAATTTTTGGTAATTTTATTTGCTAATTTTTCTTTAAATTATAAACAATTATTAAATTTCATATAAATTTTAATTGAAAAATAGTTTAATCATAATTGAATTTGTAATGAATTTTATTAAAATTATTAAAAATAATTAATTTAGTGAAGAAATTTTAGTTAAAAAACGAAGCTGAAGTACGCAACGTTTATATAAACGATTTTTAAAGAAATAATTTTTTAAAATGAAAAATTCTATAATTTTTTTCCTAAAAAATATTTCTTGTAGTTTTCATTAATCAACAAATTATAAAAAAATATTTTTTAGGCAAAAAATTATAGAATTTTTCATTTTAAAAAATTATTTCTTTAAAAATCGTTTATATAAACGTTGCGTACTTCAGCTTCGTAGTTAAAAATTTGTTAAATAATTAAAATAAAGAAGATCTGAAGATCTGCATTGAATACTAAAAAAAACGTATTTTGTTTACAATTTTTTTTTTTAAAAAGTCGGAAAAAGTCGATAAAGTCGTATAATCCGAGGCCTGTAATCACGAATTTATTAATTAAATATTTCTGCTATCAGATTATTAAATTTTTTTTTTAATATTTCACGTAAACTAAAAAAAAAAATTAATCTATAAAAAAAATTTATTTAATGACCGATTTTTAAAATAAAAATAAAGGGGGAAAATTTTCCACATAATTAAAACATTTTTTCACATTTTCGAATTCTCATGATACTGGCTTTTTTTTTTTTGTAAAAGAGGAAAGATTCCGGATGTACGTTTAATACTATTATGTACGTCTGATGTCACTTGAAAAATGTAAGGTAGGCCAGTGAACACAAGACTATTATCTAGAAGTGGTATTCAGAGCACGAGACGACAAAAAGGAACCATTACAAGACTCGGTCACAATGAATTTCAAGAAAGAATGACATACAATTATTTACGAAAAAAAAAAAAAAAAAAATTATAATAACGAATGAATTATTTCAAATATCAATTATTGAAAAATAAAGCAGACACAAACAAAAATGTCTAAAAATATAGTAAAAACAAAAAAAAATAATAATTTCACACACCTCAACAATTATATATTATTTAGAAAAATTTTTCTATTAAAATCCTTTAAACCTTCCAGTATAGAATAAAATCAATATACACTACAAAATGTCAAAATTTCTCTCTTGAATCTTGTTTAATTGTCATGACGTCATAAATGCACACATACATTGTAAATCAGAATAATCGACAAAATTCACTTTTAATGACGAAAGTTAATTGAATCAAAGAAAAATTTCTCGCGAACTTTATAACAATTAACTTTTACATTGATATTGTATGTGTGTGACACATTAGGCGTTAACTTACAAAGATGCGATTTTTTTTTTTTTTTGGGAGGAAAATTGCAAATTCCAAAGTGTATAAGATGAAGAGGGGTGCGGGTGTGTTAGGAAGATGACTGGAAGATGGAAGATGGCCCGGGGCTATTAACCGAAAAGGCTTGCCTGGTAAAGTCCAGCGAACTGGTTTTTGGTGGCCTCGAATAAGCTAAAAGCTGCCTGACAAGGATTCCCAATATAGGATAGTCGCGTTGTCGTATGGCGAAATGCATGCATGTTTTCCGTGGGATTCAGAGAAAGAGAGAGAGAGAGAAAAGAATAAAAGGCACTTTTAGGGAGATTTCTTCATTTTTTTTTTTATATAAAACACTCACCCAGAGTTCGGATCCCCAGCTCATGGTTTCGGGACCGGGATAATAGGGTGCACAACACTTCACATGTAGCTCTACACCTTGGGCACCTTCGATCGCTTACACTGGACCGAAAAAGCATGTAAATCACACGTCAATTTAACCGCACACCTTCACAAAATACACTCAAACATGTCTTCCAAATAAAACCACTGGCTTAGAACCGGACCCAACTCACTCGACACTCGCTCGACTGACTATTGAAAACCGCCCGGAATTCACGTACAGCGCCGCCAACCGGGAAATATGACAAACTTTATGAATATAGAAGTGGGGGGAGGAGGGGGGAATTTTAAATTTCAGTCACGGTTCATATTATTTGCCAAGAGAGACATGCGACGACGCCCTTGAAAAATCGTTGTTTTCCAAGATGGCCACCTTAATGTTAATTCACACTCTCAATTTGAAAATAATCTAAAGCTCAATTTAACCGCCTTTATTAAAATTATTTAAATTTGTGAAAATATTTTTTTAACGCTTTATAAAGTTAATTATTGTTCATAACGGATAGATTAAAATTATCTAATAATAATAATGATAATAAATTTTTTAATTAATTAGTCTATTTATCATTTTTTAAATTTATTTTACCGTTAGTTAAAAAATCAATATTTTGAAGAAAATAATCGAAAAAAATTTTAAATATTAGAATTTAAGAGTAATATATTTGTTAACACGTGAGTCAGGTGAAGTAAATAACTAATATACCGTAACATAAATAACTTACATGGTATGTTACCTACAACACTCAAAAATAATTATTAACCCTCAATTGATAAAGATTAAAGCAGGGAGTCACTTTGTCAATGTAGTCAGGATGGCCAACTTAAATTTTTATAAAGAAAAAAAAAAGATAAATGCGCATGCGCATTGACAATACAGTACTAGAAACATTAGAAAAGAAAAATTCAAATTTAAAAAAATGTTTATCTTTGTCATTACTTTGAGATTGTTTTAATTGATAATTAATAATTAATAATTTCACAAACAGTTACTATTAAAATTATGTAAAAAAAAAATAAATTACAATTAATAACTAATTAATTAAATAAAATTAATTAAAAAACAAAAATTTATTAAACAATAAGAGAAACTGAATTCCCGAGATGGATTAATCAATTACTCTATTAATTGAAGAATTTTCTTTAATTAATTAGTCAAAAATGGATGGAAAATTAAAAAATAAATAAGTGAATTAGTAAAAAAATATTTTCAATTATAAAAATTAATTAATAATTCAAAAAATAGATAAAAAAAAATTAATTAAAAAATATGTAAAATTAACTAATTATTAATAATTACGAAAATAAAATATTCAAAATTTAATTAGATAATTAATTAAAAAATTATTATAATTATAATTATTATTATTATTAACATTATTATTAATTATTATTATTATTATTATTATTATTATTAATATTTAATTTTCTTTTAAATTAATGAAAAAGTATTTTCATTTTCTGAGAAAGAAAAGAAAGTTTTTTTCTTATTGGAAAATGTTATTAAAAAAAAAAAAGAATGTCTAGTTAATTTTTTTTTTCTCAATATTAAGTAGTTCATTTTTGACTGCGGATGCATTGCGACGTGATAGAAGGGGAGGTAGAGAAGAGGAGAGGAAACATGATGTCGAGGGTAAAAAGGGTGAAAGGGGCTGTGGAATGAGAGGCCCGGAGGCTTGAATTCTGGAGGGTGAAATGCGCCGCGACGCGATGCGGCGAAACGGGAGAATTTCCTCTGCATCCGCAGCATCCGCTCTCTTCTCCCTCTCGGTCCAGTACATTTTCACAACCGGTACTGGACAGTTCTCTCTACATTAAGTAAATTGTTCTCTCTCTCTCTCTTTTTTTTTAAATTTCTTTTAAAATAATAATTTTTCAATTTAGTCAGATTTAAATTAATTTTTTTTTTTCAGCAAACGCAAATTATTAGTAAGATAACAAAAATATTTAAAATATTTATAATACATTTTATAATATTTTTAAATAAATTAAATAATGAATATTTCAATAATATTAAATATATATTAAATAATATATATTTAAATCAAATTTAAAATAATTTATCATAATTTATCATTATATTATTATTTATTATAAAGCTTGAGAAAAATTAAATATTAATTTAAAAAATTAATTTCTCAGAGATACAATCTTTTTGAATTCTCAATTTTATTTTTAAAGAATTTCAATTTTTATTAATAAAATTTTAATTCAATAATTTTTAATTATAGAAAATAATAGAATTCTTTTTTTTCTTTGATTATATTTACTAATATTTTACTTTTGCATTGGTCTATGAGATACGATAAAATCTGTTTTCAAGAGTGCTCGATTCATATCAAGTCTTTCTTTTCAAGTATCTGTACTTTAAGAGAATGAGAGGGACACTCATGTAATCTTTTTATCGTTATTGGAAAAAAAAAAGATTGAAATTTAATATTTTATAAAATATTTGTCAAAATATTTCATTACCTCAGGAAAAATTATCGATAACTTTATTTTATAAATTTAAAAAATAATTAATTGATTTGAACTTCTTATAATTAATTTTTTTTTTCTTGTTTATTTTAATTGTTAATTAAGATAAAAATTTCATTTAAAAATAAAGAAAATTGTTTAAAAAAAAAAAAAAAACAAAAGAAAAACAACTAAGTATCTTGAGAAAAGTCGAAAATTTTTCCTGAGTTGGCATTTAAAACTTGTGTAAAATTCAGAGATATTGGAGGACAGGAAGTACTTACACGACATACACTGCCGGTTATTTCTGGTGCTAATTAAGCGCAGTCCACCTGAAAGAAGGTAGTAGCCTAATTGGACGTGAAGACAGGGTCTCGTGTTAATTATTTAATCCAGAGAAACGAAATTCCATTTTTGAGAAAATGTCTGGAGTCACTGGAAAAAAAATAGAAAACATTTTTTAGTAAAATAGACAAAAATTCAAGTCAACAACAATAAAACAAAAAAAAAATGATTAAAATAATTTAAAATAAATTTGCAAAAAATTATTAATTAATAATATTAATACTGAAAATAGTAAAAATTTAACTGTTTACTGATTTATAAATAACGAAGATAATTCGTACAACAATATTAATTTTTTATGACAAATTTCTTCAATACGTGACCAAATTTTCTTCCATGAGTGGACAGAAGGGAAAAATGGTTAACGGGGAACAAAGTTATGGATACATGCCTTGCCCTTTACATGACACAGGTAAGCTTTTTTTTTTATTATAAGTATAATTTTACTTATTTATCATTAATTATTATTAAAATTTCTATTTTTTTTTCAGTTCGTTTTAAATATTTTTTGTATTTCGAATTAATTAAACATAATTAACGATAAAAAATAAATTTCAATTATCGAAAAACTTTTTAATGACAGAATTGCATATAAAAAGAATTTTTTTTTTCCAAATTATATAATAATATAGTGTTCAAAGCATTAAAACCAGATGTGATGTAAAAAATGAAATTGTAAAATTTACGATTCAAGTGTTATTATCACAAAATTACAAACACGTGCTACATGCAATACATTATTTTTACTCCACTTTAAAAAAAAAAAAAAACTGTTTCACATCTGCTAAAAATATTAAGATAATAATTTTTTGAAAAAAATTTTATTTAGGTAATATGCAATGTATATTTTTTATTAATCATAAAAAAAAGAATCATGAATTTTATTGAAGAAATAAATAATTTAAAAAACATTTTCTTTTATCAAATTTCATATAAAAATTGAAATCACCATCTGTGATATAAAAAATTCAAATTTATGAATTCAAAATTTCAGAATGAGAATTGTTACATGATTTTTATAATATTATTCAATAATTTGAAATTTAAAAATTTATTTCAAATTTTCATTGAATAAAAGACAAAATTTAAGAATAAAACGTGTGAGAGAAAATTGAAACTATTTAAGAATTTTATAATAAAAGTGTCACGGAGAAAAATTAAGAAAAAAGATTGATATTTTCAATTTTTCCGGAAAATAGAAAAAATATATTAATATATTTCACTGATACTTAACGAGTCACCGAAACACCTTGAATTATTTATAAAGACGCGGTACAGCCAGATACTATAAATATCGTCGATAACTTTAACTCCGTAGACGAATGCCAAAAGTAAATCACAAAAAAAAAAAAATAAATATATATCGCAAAAAGTACAATGACAATCGGATATTGTGAATATAAATAATTATGAGAATTTATCCCCAAAAATAAAACGAAAAGAAATTATAAAATTATCGCAAAATGACTATTTAATATTATTATTATTATTATTATTATTATTATTATCACATCAAAAATTATAAATTAAAGATTTTAATTTTTGAAATGTCATCTACAAATATTACAAAATTATAATTGTGGTATTTAAAAAAAAAATTATAATTTAATTAAATTTTCATAACAAAAAAATTTCTTTTTTTTTTTTGTTATAAAAATTTCGTTTCATTTCAAAAATTAGAGATCTTTTATTTTAAAAGGGATTTCAAAACCAAAAGAAGATTAAAAATAAAAAAGAACAAAATAAATTATACGAGAAAAGGAATTAAAGTTTAAAAGGAGAATTAAAATTTGAAAAATAGGATCTACAAATAAACAGCATACAAAATAAAGATATACTGAAAAATTAGCGAAACAAAAGTCAAAGGTAAAAGGAATTAAAGTCTAAAATGAAATTGTAAAAAGTAGAATCAAAAATAAAAAAAAGAGAATTAAAATCTAAAAAAAAAAAAAAAAAATTAGAACCACAAATATTAAATCTACTGGAAAAATGTTACAAAATGTCAAGGGTAATATTAAGGTATTAAGGACTAACTAATTATACACAATATAAAATGGGATTCGAGATAGTGTTTTCATATGATTTAATAATTGGCACTTTTTTCAAAAACAATAAATAAAATTACTTATTAAAATACTAAAAGTTCCAAGTTCAGCAAAATTTGGCTAGACACACGGGCAACTATATAGACTCTATTTTTTTTTTCTTCGACGAGTATACAAAAATTCAAGTTGTGCCAGAAAGCAAAAGGCAATCAGTATACATAATAAATTTCTTTTTTATTAAATTCAGTTTTCAAAGTCACTTTTCTTTCTTTTTCCGCAAACTCAGGATTCTTAATAAAAATAATAATAATAATAATAAATTAATTGTAAATAAATAAATCAATTATTATTAATTATAATATGA